AGGAAGACTGCTGGTATGGACTACTTAAATTCATTAATGTAGTGGCATTAATTTACGTTAGCTGGGACAGTGAATTAATAAGTGGAGCTAAGGAAGAATTAAAAAAGAGGTAATTTGCCTTAGGAATAAGGTATTTCTTCAGTGAGCCCTCTAATAACACAGATTTCATTTTTACTTTGAAAGAAAAAGGAATGGAATGCGGGATTTATAAGTACTGACCCAAGTTTCACCCCGAATATTTTAGATTTACCAGTTGAGCATGTCTCGGTACATACAATAAATTAAAATTAACAGCTGGAAGATGACATACTCTTAAGACAAAAGTGATTTGAGAGGGAGACAGGGAGCTAGGTTAACCAGCTAGCTGGAGATTTCTTCTACATGGGATTTCCTGTATGATCACTCCAAGAAAATTCACAGCACAGAGAGACTATCAAGAGGAATGAGAAATATCCTAGTGTCTCGTTGTTTAAAGATCACAAAAGGAGAATGTAGAGAAGGATGGAGAATGATATACAATCCAGAAAGCTTCAAAAAAGGCTTAAATTTTATCTACCAAACTATGTCACATGCCATTCAGATACAAACCAGAACATTTTTCGGTTCAACTGTTCATTTAATTACTTTATGTTATATACTGTGTCACAAGTGTATCACACACTCAGAAATGCAAGAACTGTTCGGGTACACATTGACAGCTGTTGACCACTGTTCAGAGCTGACATTAGTGCTGAGAAAGTTGCTGGGTTTTGGCTCTATAAGGAACCCTAGAAAGTTACATTCATTCAGTCTGACACCTCATGAGAATTCCATGGCTACCCCAAGTGGAAATGTCATGAGCTTCTTCAACGGGCATTTGAGTCAGGACTAACAATTTAAGCCTTGTATAGAACAATTCATAGACCATTGCCTAGATTAACACAGCTTTTTTAGTTTTACTGACTTACAGTTGCACAACAAGGGATTCAAACCAGTGAAGAAAACGGTTCCATCCTTTGGTAATGACAGTAGGAGATATTTTTTTGGATCAGAAAAAGTTTTTCAAGTGTTTCCTCATAGATATTTCATTTTATCTTTCTATTGACACACTGAATGTGTCCCGTTTGCAAGAAGTCACTGCTGGTCATAAGCTTCCTGGTGGAGTTACAGCAAGACTGAGCTTTCTCCCATAGGACCTCTATTACTGTAGCAGTTCTGACATACAGATATTTTTAGTGGGACTGATTTGTCGGAAAACTTCTCTGCATACCGTTTCCTCTCACATGGTGTTAGCAGAAAAATCTACACAAAATGTATGACTGAAAATTCTGTGGGAATGAGCCATGACACCCAACTTACACTTCTCCTTCTGCCTGACAGGTGAGATCAATCCTACCTGCATGGGTCAGACCAATCCATCTCACCCACACAACCTCTATCATGCTGGGAAATTTCAGAGAAGTGAAAATCCATGAGGTATGTTTAAGGTCTTTTCCTGCTTACGTAAGTTGAGCAATCCTTCAAAACACAGATTTCAGGGTGCACTGAATGTAGTGAATTTTCTATTTTCAGCCTGAATTGAAAATTCTCAAGACGGAGAACGCCTACTGGCCCTACATTTCAATTAAATTTATATTGCCATCTTCAGCAAAGCCATCTGTAGTATGAGTGCAAATAAAATGAAAATTTAGCACCCCCATTCCTGAAATTTAACGTGTGTGTGGCATTTCACACATTTAATGTGAGTGCCCTAAATGTCACCGTTAAAGTAAACACATCAGTTTTTACCTAGCAGGCACAACATGTAGTTGCAATCTGTGACAATAAAGTCTGGCTTTATAAAGGGAAAAAAGTACCCAAAGGTGAAACCTGACTGTGATTTTCCACTTCACACAGATGAAAACTAGGAATGTTCATCCTCAAAATTGTCTTACAGGTCTTTTACAAAAACCCTCATATCCATATCGTAAATGATTTGTAAAGATAGAAAACTATTAAAAAATATATCTGCAAGCTATTTAAAACAGAATAAACCTACCAGTTTCACAAGACAATTTTCCAGTCTTTAGATTCTAGGCTGCTATTTTCGTAGTTTCCAATTGTTTATTTCTTTCACTTCTTAACTTGAAGGTTGCACTAAGGGCACTGCAAACAGGTGTACTAAGTCATGTCATTTGATGGGCCAAAGCTTCTTTCATGCCAAGGAATTACAAAGTAACTGACATGAATAAAAAAATACATTTAGAACTGAAGCAATTTTACATCAGGAAAATGAAAACAAGGATTAATAGATTTGAATGAACGGTCTTTTGTTTGTTTTTTTAAGTTTACAAACAGTGTATCTAAGATGAGAAGAGACTGATCGTGATATAAGACAAAAAAAGAAATCTTTTATATACTGTGAATGAAACACAAAGGAAAATATGAAAACAACTGCAGAGCAGGCAAAAAAAGACATCAGCTGATACATATTTATGCTTTGAAGTGCTACTGCAGTAGAAAAGACAACTTTTTAACACCAAATTCATATTGAATAGATTTTATACAATTGATAATTATAAAAATGGTCTGACTTTCAATGATCTGTTTGTGAAAGAAATTTAAACTAACTGCAATAAAGACAACAGAATCTAGATCCACATATCTTTAAATATTTCATCATTTAATATATATAAGCATCCTACTATGCAATTAAAGAAGGTAATACTTTGTGGCTATGAGTTTGCAAACATAAAAGCATGTGTGTATTTTTTCATGTTACAATGTGTCTGTCAATTACGTTATTACGTTAAAAATTATTAGAATGCTATGAAAGATTGCTAGGAGGGTTTCATTATGATTCTAAAAATGAATTTACTGCTTCAATCTCATTAAAAGATTTTCATCCATGAATTTCTCTTCAACACCACAAGGATTGTTACTGATTGAAAACTATAAAGAGAAAGCAATTTGTTCTTCAGATTATACCTGCAAAAGCTTTCTTAACATTTCTTGTATTTCCAATGTTGCTTTGGAGAAAACCAGTAAAGGATGGCATCTAACAACCCAGTACTTTATTAGACAAGTATGAAAATATAAGTGCTTACTAAGATTTAAATTTGTAGATTCATAAAATTTAATCAAGTGTAAGAATTATGCATCTGTGCTGCATTTAATTATATAAGATAATATACTTAAATAAACAGAAATCCACACAGTGACTATTATCACCATTTTGTTCCACACAATAAGACCCCCAAGCCCTCATTCACTAGAGTGAACAAAGAAATGAGAGCATATTGTATTACATAAAGCACTATGTATAAAACCAACCCAACCTTTAGCAGTGCAAATTTACAGTATTAAATATGCAGTAAAATAACCATTTTAAATTAGTAAATCCCACATTTCATATATTGTAAATCACAGAAGAATTGTTCATCGGGCATGACTTAAGAAGACAAATCTCAGCACTATAAATCTGTTTTGTTGTTTGGACCAGATGTTTTGCTATATTTTCATAGAATCATAGAATGTTGGAGGTTGGAAGGGACCTCTAGAGATCATGTAGCCCACCCCCCCTGCCAGAGCAGGATCCCCTAGGGCAGCCACACAGGAACACTTCCAGGCATTTTCCTCCTACCACAACAAACTAAATGAAAAATAATAAGACAAGAATCATGCACTTTCTCCCTTATGCACGTATTTCCTTTAGCTGATAGCTTTTGTTTTAACATAATAAAAGCTACCAAGTCCAAATTTGAAGAGGAGTCTCTTGATGTATTTCCAGAATATAGCCGTGTGGGTGTCACGCGAGTTGCTATGATTTCAGCTCTTCCATCTAATTGTCAGTTTTAAAAGTACTTTCAGCTCAGACACAAAGATTAACCATATCATTCTATGTGAAACACTATTATAAAGCAGACACAAAATGATTATTCAAGGTCACTGAGTGTATCATTCATTGAGATGGAAATTGTGTCTTCCATTTCTAGTTCTCCTTTTGAAGAGATTAATTCATATACATCAGGATTTCCAACAAAATACTTCCACTGGTTTATACATAAGCATCCACGTCAACTGCTAAAGTGTCCTTGTAAACAGTGATCTAACTTCCAGTTGCCTTTTTCGAAAACAAACCAAAACAAAATATCCCACAAAAAACAGGTATAGGTATATCCCTGAGGACTAGAGAAGCTAAATTCTTAGTTGTAGTGTGATTCAAGGTCACACTTAACTTCTATTTAGAAAGTTATTAATCTTCTAAATACAATGGTTTGCACTGAAATGACAATTCACAAAGCTGCTTTCCTTCACACACACATATATACACACTCATATTCGTGTAAGCATCTGTAAGTATGCAAAAGCCGGACCAGAAGTTTGATTAAATGCAAAAACTAAAATAAAAACCAGCAGGAGTAATAATCCAATCTAATCTGAACAACACAACTCATCCAGTGATTCTTGTGTCAAACCCGTAATTCTGGTTGAACCACAGATCAAATTTCATCAATAGAAAACCATCTCACTCCTGGATAAAACATCCAAATGTATAATTAGCCTCACTGGGAGAAATATGTGGGTTTGTTGCAGCCTAAATCTATTCAGATTCAAATACTAACCTTGAGATGTGGTTTTGCTATTCCCTAATGAGCAACAAAATACACGGAAAATATTCACAGTGAGGAGCTACATATGCTTCTTGTATCATTTAGCTACCTGTGTTTCCACTTGATAATGCAATAATTACACTAATACAAGAAAAATGTCAATAAAAAGTATAATTCTTCATGCGTATGGCATGCTTCAGTATCGCCTGACATGAATGAGCCACAAGGCAGGAAATATTACATATATTCTCTATATTTTTCAAATAAATCCCACAGATGTAGAAATTTCTAAGTGTCCTACAGTTTAACACTCATACATATTTGAAAAGCACATTATACACATAACGAAAATGCTTTCAGTTCCATGTTTAATTATTCTTCTTTACGCTATTGCATTTTATGTAGCAAAATCTTCTATAGACCACTTACTTTTTTGTCTTCGTTATACTTATGGAAAATTTCCTGTGCTCTTTCTTCACCACCATCCGTAAACAACATAATAATCTTATTGCAGTTAGCTCGAGAGACACTGTGCTGTAGGAGATACAAGCAGAAGCTTTTTTTTTAACAACTTACACATCAACATGCTTACTATTTTAACAAAGTAATGTGAAAACTTCCAAGGTCTTTCAGGATTTTGTTCAACACCCCTTTCTGAATAAAAAATACAATAAAGTAAAATACAGTAAAATAAACTAAACTAAACTCATTTTCTCTGTTCCATGAGACTTATATATGACTCATTTCAAATCTGTTCCAACACTGAGGAATGGGGATCTGGTGGCTCCTCTCACCTAAACCAATGCAAGAAAAACTCTTTAGCTCATACCCATCCCATCAACTCCACAGTGTTCCTCTACAGATGTTCTGCCCGATATTTCTACAGTGAGATTTAATCACAGAATCACAGAATGGCCTAGGTTGGAAGGGACCTTAGAGATCATCTAGTCCAACCTCCCTGTCATGGGCAGGGATGACTCTCAACTAGATCATGATACTCAAGGCTCCATCCAGCTTTGCCTTGAACACTTCCAGGGAGGGGGCAGCCACAACATCTCTGGGCAATTTATTCCAAAGTCTTGCCGCCCTCGTACTGGTGAATTTCTTCCTAAGAATTTCTTAGGAAATTTCTTTCTTAGGAAATTTCTTTCTTTAATCCTGCACTCCTCTTCACAAAATCTATTAAACTCACTGACCACTTAATAGAAAACTCTGATAATTTAGGCATCCTATAGGTACACCTAAAAACTCTAACTTAGAATTTAGAAATATTTTTGCATTTGCTGTTATTGTCACATCTCCTTCCATTTCTTGAATTCTTTCCTTTTTAAATTTTTTTTAATACACTGGAATAAATGGCTAACTTGTGGAAAAGTATTTTAGAATCAGATTTACAAAATATATTGCAGCCAAGATATGGCTGCCTCGAGCACTTTTGTAATTAGATTGCAACTCAGAGGTGAAGAACTGAGCATGCTCTGTTATTTCTGGAGAGCAAGTCAGGGACAGAGAGAATTGAACAGAAGCCCCTCTGACTCTTCATTCAGCAGTCAAAGTAACTAGTAAAGCCACTGAGAAAAAACAGTGCTGTGAAAAGGAATAAAATGTTGTTTCACAGCCACAACAATGAAGAGATGAACAGGAATTTTGATTCCTTATGAAATTCAACTTCTCCTTTCACAAAGCCATAGTTTTGCTGCATGAATTTACTATACAGTCAGAAAAAGAAATCGGGGTCAGCCTTACAAAGTAAGGGTCATCCTTACAAAATTCTTAGTTCTCCTTTGCTTTAGTCTTTGTGACTAGATAGTGACTAACTTTCACCTGGCTGGTCAGGTGAGATGCTCCTATTCCCGTTTGTCACTTTTCATCCTACTCTCTGATCTGATTCCTTGTTCTTCTGCAATAAAAAGACCTAAACACCAAAGCCAGCTCTCAAACATCAGTCAATAATGCACAATATTGCAGTTCCATGGTTCTACAATGCTCCTAGACAACCAAAATATAAAGCCTTTATCTGCAATCATTATTCCTCAGAGTTGATTTGTATTGGTAGTTCAACATTCAGTGAATCATTTGAAAATAAACCAAGTCCAAATATTTTCTTACATGTAACAATACATAAAACTTACTCAAAATCAATACATTCTCTCTAATCTCATCAGTACACTGTGCTTCATTTGGAATTAAATAATTTATGACCATTTTCTGCTTGGAAATATAACCAACAAGATACTGCTTTGGGCTGCACTCTTTTTGATATTAAAAAAGTAATAAAAGTAGATATGGATACTTCGTAAATAAAGGAACTCACCTACATTTATAGTGATTTAATATAGAGGTAAAAACAAAATCAAAACAAAAAAAAAATCCAAGATTTTAGCCTCCAAACAGTATTGGAAATCCGAACACGAATACAATCAAATCATATAACATTTTCTCATCATATCACAGAATCAGAGAATTGTCAGAGTTGCAAGGGACCTCTAGATATCACCTAGTCCAACCTCCCTGCTAAAGCAGGATTGCCTAGAGCACATCACCCAGGATTGCATCCTGATACAAACTTTGCATCCTGATACATGAACTTCACACAGAAGCCTCTTATAAAGGATCAACAGGAAGGCAAAATTTCCACTGCAAGGCATCCTTTTTTCCCATCTTTTCCACAAAGATGGAGAAACGAGGGCTCAGGGAGTGAATACAAGTGATTTTGCAAAGCTGGTGCAGTAATCTCATAATTTTTCTGAAGAGTTTGCCTCAATGGTCCAATGTATGTCTCTGCCTTCTCATCGCAGGCCACAGCTGAATGTGTTGCCTATACAGCAGTTTTGCCAGTACAAAAACTGGCTTCTTGGCTTAAAGCACCAGAGAATATAAATTGGAACTGAGTCTACATATTCATTTTTAGTACTATCTTGCACTTGATAACAATCTTTTTTTTCTTCATTCAAACACGCAAGCAAAATATAATCCATTTTATACCATGGCTAAAATTGCTTCTGCTCTATGTAAGTTCTGTTTTATATAAATTTCACCTCCCTAAAATTAACTTGTTTAGTAGCAGGTCAGGACTATACCTTATGATATGACACTTTAGGAATGCATTTTTCATTATGAGTTTCTTGCCACTGAGGAATGAAAAGGTAAACCACAATAGAAATTCACTACTCAAGAAAAGATGACTTCAAGGTATTTTTGTTTGACAAATTGTAGTTATTCTGGTGTGCAGACATAAAAAAGAAAAAGATCCTAAATTACTGAAGCCGAAGTATTATTATTTTTGAAGAAACAGCAACTTAATATAACAATACATAATGGAAAAACACTGCAGAAAAATGTTGAAACACAGATTATTGGTAATCACTTGAATTAGCGTGTTGAAAAAACCTGGATTTTTTATTTTCATGGAGCAACATATTAAACAGCAGGTTTGCATGGCACAAGTGAAATACTACATTATATTCGGGCAAATTGCTTGAAATAACTGCCATTCAGAAACAGTACTCCTGAAACTATTATAAAAATTTGACCTAATAAAGATGATGCCCTTAAAGCAATTGGACTATTCCAATTCATAAATATACAACTAGAAACTCTCCATAAGCATTTTTTTTTATTATTTGTTTAAGTCATTATTATATCATCCTATCATCATTTGTCAGCAGAGCCCAGCACTAACCCCAACACCATCATTTTATTCTTCCTGACAGATGGATTTGCTGATATCTGAAGATGAGTGCACTTCTATAAACTAACACAAGCTGTTTCCTTCCGTTGACAGGACAAGAGGCAACAAGAGGAACACAGGATGTTTCACCTAAATATGAGGAAGAACTTCTTTACTGTGAGGGTGACAGAACACTGGCACAGGCTGCCCAGGGACGTCGTGGAGTCTCTGTTTCTGGAGACTTTCAAAAGCCACCTGGATGCAATCCTGTGTGATGTGCTCTAGGCAATCCTGCTTTGGCACGGGGGCTGGACTAGATGATCTCTAGAGGTCCCTTTCAACTCCGACAATTCTGTGATTCTGTGAAATACACAATGTCCAGCCAAAATTTACAGGCTTGCGGAGATTCTGTGAGGTCAATCACACCTCTGCCTCCACTTACAAGAAAGACAGTCCCATTAAGAGACAGATCTCCAATTAGCTTTCAAGAATTTTTTTTTAGTCGTGCAAAAAGTCCACTTTGAGCCTTCTCCTGTGTTTGGGTCTTAATACTGCCTGTACAGGAAGGACATGTCTGGTGTCACCCTAAATGTAATGCATAATGTTAATCAAGTATAAATACTGTGAGGAGTAAGATGAGATTGGTGAAATTTCTTGTGTCTTCCTGGTTCCCTTCTGCCTGAGATGGATGAAGAAATAGGGGAAACGGCTTTGAGTCTGCTGTGATAGTTCATCAGCTTTTAAAAGCCTGTTTGCAGTTTTATAAAACCATCAGCAGAGGGCACCCAATCATTTCCCCACCGAACAGCTATGCTCATCTATGGAGTGATCTGCTGAGAAAATATCCTTAGAAACATTGTATTTTCCTGTACTGCATTAAAATTTAGCAAGGTAGGAATTTTTCGACCAGCTTTAGCCTTAGGCTGCCTATACAATGGCAGGGAAGTGCCTTGAACTCCAGAACCTGAAAACTGGGAGAAAAAAATAAAGATTTGTACACTTAAATACAACAGCACTGATATATTGAAAAAAAAGTTATACAAAGAATACACTTCATATGTATTAAGCTAGATTCTTTGCTGCTGTAAATGGGTATATCTTTATTTACACTAAAATGTTAATATGCTGTCTTCAGGAAAGTGAAAAGTAAATTTATAATAGCTGCACAAGCTATTAAAAATTTACTAATAAACCCCCTAAATTTGTAATAAATAGGAAACATTACTACTCAGAAGGCTAGTGCTTGGGTGCCAATTAGAAAGTATAATTTAGTTAAAACATGGAACAGTGCATTTAATTTTTTGAGGAAATTATTCTTTTTATTTATGAAAAAAGGAAAGGAATTAGAACACTCTCAGGTGCCCAATATTCCTCTGTTAACTAAGTCATTTTGTCCGCTTTGTCCTGTTCAAGCCATGGTCGAGTATTTATGACTTGTAATAAGTATGAAATTGTAGCTTAACTAAGCTCTGCTAGGAGATACTAACATATAGAGATTCTAACACAGAGCCTTCTATTTTAGAATTGCCTTCAACTCAACCACTACCACAGCAATGTGTCAACTGATAATCAGATGTTAAATGAAGAACTGGCTGAATGAATGAAGTAAAAACAGTACAGAACACATCGAAACACAAATCTATTCACAAATTTCAGCAGCCTGCTGTTGGGAGCCACAAAGAAGAAAACATGTTGTTGGGATAAATTTACTTGCTAAATAAAGGTTTGTATTACTACCACTTAGTTATACACTGGAGGAGCATGCAGTGGCCACCTCAACATTCATGTTCTCATTTTTCAGAGCAGGGAGAGATGACTTTCATACTTACATTTAGAAGCTGTTCAAAAGCATAGCTAAAGCCTTTTTTGTAATCTGTAATTCCTTTAGCAGAGATTTTATAGACAGCTTCTTTCAGCTTCTTCTTGTTCCTCACATTAGCTTGGACGAGATGATTAAAGCAACTGACGTTCTGAGCATTATTGTTAAACTGTAAAATAAACACAAGCAGTATTAAAAACAGGTAATGCTCTTTTCTAGGTACTGTAATAACAAAGGTTAATGTTTTCTTGGTCCATGAGATAAAGCATGTCACACCTGAATTTTCACTTTCTCTACATTGATGATGTCCAGTAGTGTCTGAATATTCTAAAATCAGAATATATATATATATAAAGACATTTTGTGCTTTGTATTTAAATCTGAATGAAAATCTCCTTTTAACTCTAACACATTAATTTATGTTTTTAAGATACTCTTGATTAATATTATGAGAACTATTGTCTTGGCCAATTTTTAAACTGTTTTATTTATTCAGATTTCGTGTGGGAGCTTTTTTTCTTACTGGCAAATAAGATGTCCAAAAACTCTGTAAAACTCCATCTCAGTAAGGGCACTAAAATCCAAACATCCTAATTTACGTTTCCCCTTAGAATAGATTATTATGTCTTTTCCTGAGTAGGGGTCTTCAGTGAAAGTAAATGTACAGGCAATTTTACACTGTAAACCTTGTGCAAATCCTTAAAGAAACTTAAAAATCAGGACCTTATCGCTTTACACCTCAACACTGCTAATTAGCTCAATAGTACTGTATAGAAGATAAGGCAAATAAGGTTACAGATTTCAATAACTGCTTAGACAACTTGCACGTCTAAAATAAATCCCTGAGTACTAGGTGCAAAGTACAGAGAGAGAACTGCTATCAGCAGCAAGCATCAACTCGTGCTGTAGTTGTAGGACGTAAAATAAACAGAACTTAAAATGATGAAGGGATTGATAATATCAAACTTTTTGTAATAACGCATAATAATTCCATCCAAATTCACAGGATGTTTAGGATGTACACAGACTTTTCCATCTCTTGGATCAGATGGGTACAGATGCATGCCCCTGGCTTTTACAATCAACCAAAATGAATTAATAATAATTTTTATCAAATATCCACTTTAATCAACGACACTTCTGCTATCGAATTGGTAGGAGCAAGGATGTAACAGCAACTATGGCACAGCTTATGGCAGAGAAGAGTGACAGATCAAGGCATCATCCTCAGCAGAAGGCTTAGCCTAATTTGCTCCAGATGCTTTGGGAAAATAGCCACAAAGCTGCAACTGTGAGGCACTATTATGAGGACATTTTTTTATGCTGGATTCCTGTTTATGGTTCCACTTATGATTTCTTATTCTCGCAAAAAGGATGTGGCAAATTGGCCCATGAATTAGAGACCTTAAAGCAAGAATTTGTCCACCTCCTCTTGTAGTATCCTCATTGCACTACAAGCCACTCCCACCTAAACAATAAAGCACACTATTTCCATTTTGAGGATTAAGCAGTTCACCTTGTCATACCTTGTGACCTTCATATTGTACTTTTGTTCTAGAGAGCTTATTTTTACTCATTCCTCATGAGTTAAAAACATCTTTTGGTGAGATACTGATATTTTTAGGGTATAGTTGTTTTTTTGAGGACTCTCTTAACTAAAAATCTGTATTGGTTCTTGCTAGGCAGAACACACTACAAGAATACTCATATAAGAACCTTCATATATCTTTCTAATTAATTGGACTATTATTACTCTGTCCCAGTTTTCTAGCTCTGGTCCCCAGGTGATTAAAATCCGTGGGAGTAAGTTATTCTCAAATGACTTCATGCAAAATTTTCAGTTCCCTTTTCGATCAATATGCAGTTCCCAAGGTGACACAAGGGGACTAGTGTTTCCAAAAAAAATTAAAAAGACTGAACAAGAGCTTTAACTTTGAAAAATGCAATGTTAATATTTGACCAAGTATTCTACAGAAGTCAGATGTATGTAGTAATATCACAGAGGCTGCTCATTTATTTTTGTAATATTGTATTTATTGGCATCTTAATTTTTGTAATAACTATACAGATTGTATCACGTGTCTAAATTATTTACAGTAACAAAAGCATGAAAACAAGATGAGAGAATGAAGATTATATTTTTTAGTTCTCCCAGTGTCACGATGCAAACTGCTCCTTTAAAATAAATGAACGCATGGAATTGGATTGCATGTAACCGAATTTTCAGCTGGAATATCCCTTTAACATATGCCATATTTCTCGGGAAACAAGACTTTGGTAGGACCAACCATCCACTGTGATTAAAATGTAAGATTTCCAGCAGAGGTCTAACATTTTCATTGCATGATTTTAAAGTCATTATCTTTTATAAAAGTTCTTTCTCTAGGCTCAGACAAGTTATGGTAATTCATTTTTCTATTTCCTCTCACTATTGTGTACTTATTTTTATTTGGTGGATTTAAGCAATATGTTTTCCCATTTAAGCAAAATCATGAGATGATCACACAACTGTAATTCATTCACTTTGATGCAAAACACTGACACACAAAACGGTGCTTCTTACAGAAGTCTCTCCACACACAAGTAACCAGTACATCACCCAGTCATTATTAGGTACATTAACCATGTTGGAGTGAAATCGGTATTATGTTGTGGCATTATTTTAGCTTGTCTTGACCTAATTGTGCAGCCAGGATGAGAAAATTGCTGACATAAAATAATTTTTAAAAGATGGTCTGAAGATTAATTCTAATTGTGAGATGTGATGAAAGTACAGATTTTGTACTTGGAAGAAGAAAAACACTATCTGGTAGGTAGCTCTGCTTTGCAAAAGCCAATTTCATCTGAAGATGAAAACACTGATCTGCTTCAACAGTGACATTATCTGCAAATTATTTAATGAGCTAATATAAATGTAACCATAAGGTTAATCCTATGGTCAGAGCATGCCTTTTCTTGGGCTATAGCAAATGGCAGTTTAGGCGTTCAAACGAAAATTTGGTGACAAGAGAAAATTTCTCCTTGAAATGCTGCTAACACTAAACTGCAAATTAATTTCCTGCAAATGTATCAGGGTAATTGTTTCTATGAAGGTCAGGTATCTAGCATACGGATCAGTAATTAGGGATACAAAAAGGCTATTTTAAAAATTGACAGGAATAGTGGCTCAAAGTGTTGAAGCAGTTAACCAGTAAACTGTACTTAGTGTACTGTACTTACACATGATGCAAACTAGGGCAAAGGATCAAGGTCAAAACATCCACATCTACAGACTGACAAATGCTGATTTAAAATGAAGGTGAGAAATAACACACTTGTAGAATAGAGTTACATCAACCAAAGTCTGAAAATGTCATCGTTTAATCAAGAAAATATATGAGCCAGCTGTTTTCAAATACATCAGTCAACCTTAATGTTAACACCAGTCAGCAAAGCAGGTGAGAAGATATTTTGATTAGAAAAAGGAATCAGTAGATAGAACAATACTCCAAAATGAACATTCATCTGTTTGCTAGGAGGCGAAGGCAAGACTGAAGGTTGAAATGTAACTTATAAAAGTGTCCAAAGGGGGGAAATGGAATTCAGAGCTACGTTAATTAATTTGAAGTCCAGTAAAATACTGGAGTAACTGAAGGATTTCAGGTGTAAAAGTCTTCAGATTATATTTAAAACTGGCTTTTAATAACACTAAAACAATTTTGCTCTTTAATCAGTTAACCATGTGCAAATACCAGGACCATTCATAACTTTGAATTGGCCAAACTGAGCCAGCTTTCAGTTGCAGTCACTTGAAATGTAATAGTAATAGTGGCATTATAATTTTTCACACATTAAAATACCAGAACTCAAGTACCTGCAATGAGCCTTTAACGATTACAGGTACCTTAATATTGCTTATTTGAGTTTGGAAAATATCTTGAAAACCAGTTAACAATATACTCAGTCTCTTAGTATTAAAATGGAGTGAAGAATATGCAAAGTTTTAAAAACTAGTTGCCAGTTCAGAAAGTCCATGTTCTTACAAAATCAAATCTTATGAAAGGTGTAAAATAAAAGTAATTACGATTCACAGTTTATAAAATAAAATATTCTTAATCTACACAAAATATGCCACCTGAGTACTTATTAGATTGGCATTTCCCCTTAATTATTGCAATAAACATATCACAAAAATGCTACTGTAGTAAAAGGAAAACAAAGGGAATTTGTGTATGATGCCATGGGCTCAATGAGTCACTTACAAAACAACAGATGACATTTGCAGGCAAACTATTCAATTGTTAAAATCTAAAGCCACCCTCTATAGTATGTCACTATCAGTTAGAGCTTCTACTATTTCAAGTATATAAAAAGCCTTTTCATTATTTAAGCTAAAATAAAAGGGGCTCACAGCAAAAGACTTGGAAATCATTCTATGATTCTATGATTCTTTGATCATAGATACCCTTAACTTTTTATTTTAAAGTATCTTGAAGCTTTAATGCAATTAAATTTGTCTTTTAATTACAGTAAGGTATAGGGCCTAGATGTATTTTTCATCATATTATTTCTCTCTACTCAATTTATTTATATCCTTTGTATTCCTTGCCTTTGGAATCTCCCAGAATGATCCTTGAGTCTGAGGAAATGAAGACCTCCTATTCACAGGTTTGGGCAGGAATATCAAAGCCTGTTACTGGGGTACTAAGAGTGTCAAAGAACTTCACTCATTTGACCTCAAACCACCGTATATGGAGCAACTAAATAACTTGACAAATAAGTTAATCAATTCAACTCTGAACAAAGGGGTTTGAGTTTAATGCTGCTTGAACCTTGTCATTCTGAAGAAGTTCAGAACCAGAAATACTAATCTGATGGTTTTACAAGCACTTTGTCTTTATCCTCCTATTCAGAGAAAGACCAGCTTGCAAAACCAGTGGAAATTTATGCAGAACTGCAGTGAAATATTTAAATTCTAAAGACCTTTCCTCTCCCTTAGGTTGCTCCATTGAGCTGTGGGCTCCTCCGGGCACATAGACCTCTGCAATCCACAGTGCCTCAAGAGTTGAACCAATGGCCAAGAGAAGGGGTTGTCATTCTGAAATCGTCTTCGATTCTAGAATAGTTACTTCCACATTGCTAAAAGCCTGCTCTTTCCCAGACTGGAAATACTTCTTTTAAATTATTAAA